ACCAATGGGCGTGTAGTGTTGAAGTGGAGAGTAAATTTATTCATATTTTGATCCTGTCAGACCTTTGCGTAGATATTTTATAGTAAATTTATTCATATTTTGATCCTGTTTTACATAGTCAACCCTTTGTGTAGATATAGTAAATTTATTCATATTTTGATCCTGTTTTTTTATATACAGGTGAATATACATAGTAAATAAAGTCATCAACGTCATTGTCTTCACCGGTCACCCATCTTTGTGCTGTGACTGTTTTATAATGTTGATTCCAATTTGGATCTAGATGTTCTTTCCAATTTTCACCATTTTCTTTTCGTTTTAGAAAATTTTTGAATTCTTCGTAGTTTTTTTGTGATTCTTTAAATCCTTCTAATGTAGGGTGATATATGCAAGGTGGTTCGTGATTGGTTTGTGATGATGTCATCTTCGGAGTGTATTTGAATGTTCGCACTTTTATTCAGTCGTGATGGAATTGGCCAAGTGGGAAGAGGTTGTTGTTTTGTGGATGTGCGGGAAATCGTTTGAATTGGAAGAGAACGATAGCGGAATTGGTTTGCCAAAGGAAAGGCCCGAATGGCAGATAACAGATTTGGAGGATATTATTGAAGAGAGAGTTGATTCCCAAGTTTGTTCGTGGCAATGATGTGCTGTATGACATACTGATGAAACATATGCAGGTGCAATTGATTTTAGCTATCGGTGTTCCGGAACGGAAGCAGGGCCCTACATTTGCATACCTGTGAAATTGTAAGAAAATGTTGATTCATCAGCTTTTTGCCGACGTACAGGAACGTAAGAATAAATTCGAGAAGAAAACTGGTGTGAATTTAGATCATTACTATAAATTGCTTGTTACAAAAAAGAGTGGTGAGAAATGCAAGCTAGAGATGATCGAGGCACATAATAAGTTGAAAGAAAAGACAGGTAATTTGGGCTATGGCATCTTCGATATTTTTGTGTTGGCTTTTGAATACTTCTTTGTCGTTGATATGGACGTATTGATATTGGGTTCCGTCTGTGCATAGGAACATGAATTTGTCACTGTTGTATTTATCGATGTGTGCGAGTTTTTCTTTTAGTTCGTTTATTTTGTGTTTGGGATAGTTTGGGTAGAGACTCATCATTTGTCATGCTTTTGTTTCACAACTAATTCTTAGATTTTCGTCTAAAAGTTCTTGAAATGATTTGTCTTGATTCTCGTTGGCAAGATAGTCGGTGACGGCCTCATCTAGAATGGCTTTAGTGCTTGTGAACTTTTTCGACGTGTTGAGGTGTATGTACTCAAAGTCGGCTGGTTTCGTGTAATATACGCAATAGGTTGGCATAAACTCTTGTGTATTTTGTTCTCACATTCATTTAAATTTGTCGTTGAGTTCTTGTTCTTGAATTGCATGGTATGTATTTAGACGACAATTCTCACAGTAGCGTTGTCTATAGTGTAGTTTGCCATTGTGTGCGTCTGTATGTTCACAGTGTAGACAGTTTTCGTTAAGACAATTCTTTTTAGTTAGACCCCGCACAAATTGTTTTTCAAACGGTAGCATACTTGCAAAATCATCATCATCATCATCGTTGTCCATTTTTTTTCAGGTACAGGTACAGGTCTTTTTGGTACAAAATTTATAAAGAGGGAAAAACCCTCAGGATGTGAAGGCACTTCAGAAAAGAAAAAAATCCTGGTCGATTACTAAATTTGGTAATTCACTGCTGGACATTTTGACATTCTTTTTGTATCATTATATATGTATATGTAAAATAATTTAATTTGGGGGAAAATGGATTGCAAAGTGAACTATGAAAAAGGTGTATTAAAGCTAGAAATAAAGATTTATATAGAGGAATGTATTGCGGTGTGTGCATGTGTTGTATTGTATGCTTATTTGTGGTATCGTTGAAATGGTTATTTTATTAGAGTTTAGTATCGGCGAAACGGTGTTGAGAAGAATTGAAGTTGATCGAGAATCGTTTGAGAATGCTGTATATTTGATAACACCGCCGGCAATGCGTGAGCAGGGTTTACCCTTTGAGAACAATGTTTTAGAGCATAGAGAATATGTATGTGAGTTTTGGAATTTGTTATTGTCCAATGAGAGATTATCGTGTTTAACATATACGGGTCAGTTTTGGAATAAAATGACTGTGATTGGTTATGGTTTTACTTATTCGATAAAAAGTGTGCAGCAGCAGGTTGGCGAGAAGCGTAAAATTCCTTCCCAGTTTTTTGTTGTGGCTTGAAAAGTGTTACGTCTAGATGACCAAGAATAATTTTGAATCGACGATCAAAGAGTATTATCCGCGCGATTGGACGAGGCATTTAGTTGTACAGCAATGCAAGTTATTTGGTCAGATGATTATGTATTTTACACAACATGAACTTCATAAGAGATACAGTAAGAAGATTAAGTATGATGAATGGATGCATGATGCATGGAACATTATGAAAGATTTTGCACATTTTTATGCGTGGGATTTATTTATGGACATACTTATTTTTTACGGACTTGACGATTTAGAATGTGGCGTTTTTGAGATGTTGTATTGTGATGATGAGAATACATTGTCTAGAACGTACGCTATGTATGAGGATTATTTTAATTTTGTATATGTGAATAAAATGAGTATAGATAATTGTAGATATTCAAATGTTTATTGTTTTATTGATTGTTTTACAGCATATTAAAGATTTTCTACACTAAAGTATTTTGTGTTTGGATCAGCATTGTTTATTAATCCCGTTTCATATTCTTCTTTTGAGATTTTTTCTACGATTTTGTTGGCATCGTAGTCTTCTGTTTTTGCATTTTTCTATAAAAATGATAATTGTGCATATTAGTTCAGTTTGAGTTGATGATGATGATGTACGAATGTGAAAATTTTGATTGTGCTCTTAAGCGACTTTGTGCTGATCTAAGAAAAATTGAATATCGTTCACATTGTATAGATTGGTATTATGGTGATCATTTGTATACGGATATTCGCTTTGTAGCAGTTATTGAAAAAGAAGAAGAAAATGAGTCTTCATATTGGTATAGTGCTAAACATGAATTTGGGGTTATGAATATGAATAGTTCAATACAATTTAAATATTTTTATCAGTTGCGATATGCGAACGGTTATTTTATGTTATTTAAAACCAATTCGTATGAGAAACCATTCTCGTTGGGAAGACATTTTCGTATTGAAGAGCTTTTAAGAGATGATGATGGGGATTGTTCGCTTATTGAAATGGTTCGGAAGATTGCAGCTGAAACAAATGTACTTTTGTCACCGAAATTTGTTTATATGACACGTATGGCAAGACGTATTATTAACTTACCGGTGTGATTTTAATGCATTCGTTTTCTGTAATACTGCCAACGCAACAAGCTTCTGTTATACTTTGAACTGTGATTATGATAATTTGACTTGGAAAATCCAACGGGTTGTTATCTATCGGTACTAAAAGTATGTAGTAGGTATCTTTCGTAGTGATATGAATATATATAGTTTCTATGTTTCCGTCAAAAAAGTTTATAGCTATTGGTGGTTTTTGGGTTCTACTCTTCGTGCCATGTTGTTTGTTGTAATTGAAATCAATACACAGGGTACATGTATTTTATATTTAAAAAAAAAAAAAATTTGATGTTTCCACTTTTTTGTGTTAATTTTGCTAAGTTATTTTGCTAATGTTATAACACGAAAGTCTTCTTCAGGATCTTGTTTTTCAAGTTGTTGATAATATTCATATATAGATATTATCTTTATTGCATCACCAAGACCTTTGAAAGTTTTGTTATTCATCTGTAAAGCAAGAGAGGAAAAAATTATTGCTGGTGTTTTTGTTATGGGGTAATTTTTTTCGGGTTTTATTATTACCGTTTTTATACGTATACATTGTTCCTGTTCTACAGTTGTATGGGGTGTCGTTTAAGCTAGACGTACTTATGCTATGGAGGTTCGAGTCCTCTCTAAGGAGCACACTTTAGTCTGTTGTTTGTTACTATTGGCGGCAATTTTAATCTCTCGAATTTTCGCTTATCTTTTGAGTGACGAATCACCGATTTTTGTTAAGCAATGAATCATTTGGGTGGTGAGATTGACGATGTGGATGAATGTTCAAGGTTGGCTGTACAAGATGAAAGTAGTTTTGATATGATGCCCAGTTCTACCAAGTCGAATCTTGAGGGTTTCAAAGCATTTAAGCGACAAGAGGATGAAAGAAAAACGATGTATTTGGAACAACATTTAGGTGAATTTTGTATTAGTTGTGGTATAAATGAAAAAGCCGTAAATAGCTATTTAGATGAGGGAAAAAAGCATACGGATGTAGTTTATGTTGTAAGCACAAATGATTGTAAGATATGTATCGACTACGGGTGTATCTTGTGATTTGCATCAACATCGTCAATATCATGAAATGAACTGTAGAAGTGAATGTGGAAGTATTTAAAGTGGGAGTATTTAAGTGGAAGTATTTAAAGGGTACTATAAAAACAGAAATAACGCAAGATAAACGCTCAAATAACACAAAACATGGCTGAATGCAACCTAACTGTCCGCCTGTTGTCGACTGTAAAAAGTGGGCGCAAGCCAAGCGCATATTTGAAGGAGAAAGTTGTGTACTTTCCTACAATGAGGACCAAGACTGGTTTGATGATGAAGATGAGGAGTTTCAATTTACTGAATCCAATCAGTGGTTCGAAGATGCATTTGTCGTCGGTTTGAAGGAGTGCGAAGAGATGCAGTGCGGGCATTTAAAAGTACGACAGAGACAGTTGGATGAGGCCTTGGAAAGATTAAAAGACACTGTAAAAGGAGTGTTTCTGCATGAAGATCATGGACAAAAGAAAAAATATTAAAAACTAAATAAACTGTAGTATAGGGTGTATGTGCATGCAAAGACCCTTTTGTGTGCTGCTTGGGAAGACACACCGTGTGATAAGACTGTACATGAACGCTTTTATTGAACATTTATACTATATACTACTCATTTGTTCTAAGTGATTTATTGAATTTTTTTTACAATATACTATTCATTTGTTCTAAGTGATTTATTGAATTTCTTTTGTAGTTATTTTTCTAATAAAGAGTTTACAGCTGTTCTGTATTCTATAGAATTAAATATTTGTTTGTATCTCTCACGTATTATTTCTGGCGGTATATAATTGTGTCGAAACACATTCTGCGGCGTTTTCTTGCAAATTCTCGTCTTCTCTTTTGGCGCTCATGTTTTTTTTTCTCCTATAATCTGCTTTCATTTTTGATTTTAATGTTTGAAATGCTCCACATGCTTCGCGACCATTCAACGCTAGATTGAGACGACGATCTAATGCTTTTAGCTCATCACAGTAGGGTCCAGGGTTCTGAACTTGCATCTTTGCGTATAACTGCTCGGCATTCGCTGCAGCATTTTCCACTTGCATTTTATTGTAACAGTAGAATTGCTCTTTTCTGTCTTCGTCAGTTGATGTTGTAGGTTTTTTGGCGGGTACAAATTTGATTGTGGGGAGGGGTTTGAGTTTTCGTCTGAGTTTTTTGGCTGGTGAGGGGGGGGGGGATGATATTGGCGGTTGGTTTCTTGTTGTCAACATTCTCGAAGAGGAGAGGTGATTCAGTGCTCTTTCTTTTAAAAGATGATGTTGCTGCTGTGGAGGTGTTATTGATTTTAAATTTCATAAAGCTGGGTTTATATTTGGTACGTTTTTTTTTCTCATCACGTTTGTTCAATTTACCCAATATTGTGTGGTATATATAACCAATAATCGACTGGTTTCAACTAGCAATACATTTATTACAATTGTCTATGCATACAATTGTGTGTGTTGGTGCTTTCGTTTTACACTCAGACATGATTGAATGTTTTCTTCTTTTTTGAGTTTTTTTTATTAACGCAGGTTGCTAGGTGATTTACCTTATTTGATGTGCGACTTGTGAATGAGCAAGTCGATTACCTTATAGGGTAAATAACTATGAGTGGATCAAAATATTATGTTTGGTTGGCAAGCAACGTAGGTCTGTTACGTTCATAATTAGTTGGGGTACAATTCCTCGTTTAGTAAGCAATTCACGCAACAAAAAAACACTGTCGAATCTTCCCCCGTTATGTGCAATCCATATGCTATCTTCAGGTTGATCTAACATGAAATCTATTAAAATATTCACAATGTTTTCGTTGTTGTTCTCGAAAACATATTGACGATAACCACAACACGGTACACTTTCACGCTGATATTGCAATGAGCGTCGTCCATACTGTGCGCAATAAAACTCTCTGTGGATTTTTTTTATCACATTGATCACAAACAACACAATAGAAAGGAAGCATATGTACAACACAATAGAAAGGAAGCATATGCTTAGTCGAAGGGTCAACACATGTTTCAAAATCGTAAAAATAAAGTAGGGGTAAATCACATTTTGTCGGAATTTGATGTATTTTCATTGATCCTTATTGCAATGTACACAATAATACTGATGACATTTATGCTTTGTGGCTTTTTTTGTACTCGTTTTCTGCATACGACATACCCTCTTGTAACAAGACAAAAGAAAAAATACATGCACAGCGTAACGTATGTACCCTAGTCTAGGACCTGTATATGAGTTTGTATGCGATTCATTTAGGACAGGTAATCTCAACTGTTTTAGGGTAAAATGACCATGGCGGTCAACATGGCATATGTGCGAAAACCTGAATCCGGGGCGAAAGTCCTGAAAATGACCCCGCCCTGAAACGGCAGTGTCGACATAGCTCTAACTAACTTCCGAAAGGGAAAAGCGATAGCCTTTCTGAAGTGCTTATGGTGTTTAGAAGGGTTGCTTTTAGGATGGTCATTAGAAGGAAAAATTTGTCTAAGTCTAATATTTTACCAGAAAATGACCATGCACCACCCCAGGTAAAATGCTGATTATGCACAAAATAACTAATATGCCTGGCAGAAATTAACTTTTCTTATTTCCTAAACAAAATTATCATGGGATGAAAAACTATGCTTAGTTCAATATAATTATTGTGGATTTCATAAGGATTGTCATTGTTTTCTTTTAATATAATACATTTTATTTCACTTACCCACCACAAAAACACGCTTTCAGCCATATTTTGCCGTCTTGTTTGCTTTTTAACGCCGACTCTCGAAAATATCATCCAGTTGTTGTACTTTTACATAATCATAAAGGGCTAAAGAGTATATGACCCAAGTTTCATGAAGTTTTGGAACTGTGCAGTGTATTTTATCTTCGATATTGTGTCCTTCGATATTTCGTCAAATTGCAGCCATTTTAATGGCTCGCCGCTTCTCTGTCCGATAAATGCCACTTCTCCATTCTCATATGTATTTAGATTACAGTATCCAAGAGTACTTCATTGTAGAATAGTCCCAATCGAAAAGTTGACAACATTTGTCCTATTTGGGATGAAAAACCATCCCAAACAAGCGAAAACTTCTTGTGGACACATGACAGGGGGGGGTGCATATTTCCACGAAACGTTTGTTCGCCACCATAGAAACAACTAAATATATTGTATTTTTATGATTTATGACAAATATTTATTGTTTTTATCATAAATCATGAAAATACAATAAATACAATATATTTAGTTATGTTTCTGTGGTGGCGAACAAACGTTTCATGAAAATATTCACCCCCCTGTCATGTGTCCACGAGAAGTTTTCGCGAAGATTGCACGTGACTTTCAAATGACTTGTTTTTTATTTTGAACCTAAACCCTCCCGTATACCATACGGGAGGGTTTTTCATCCCAAATGGGACAAATGTTGTCAATTTTTCGATTGGGACTATTCTACAATGAGGTACTCTTGGATACTGTAATCTAAATACATATGAAAACGGAGAAGTGGCGAGCCATTAAAATGGCGGCATTTGATGAAATATCGAAGGACACAATATCGAAGATAAAATACACTGCACAGTTCCAAAACTTCCTGAAACTTGGGTGAAATACTCTTTAGCCATTTATGATTATGTAAAAGTACAAGGCTGGATGATATTTGCGAGACTCGGCGATAAAAAGCAAATAAGACTGCAAAATATGGCTGAAATCGTGTTTTCGTGGGGGGTAAGTGAAATAAAATGTATTATATTAAAAGAATACAATAACAATCCTTATGAAATCCACAATAATTATATTGAACTAAGCATAGTTTTTCATCCCATGATAATTTTTTTTAGGAAATAAGAAAATTTAATTTCTGCCAGGCATATTAGTTATTTTGTGCATAATCAGCAATTTACCTGGGGTGGTGCATGGTCATTTTCTGGTAAAATATTATACTTAGACAAATTTTTCTTTCCAATGACCACCCCTAAAAGCAACCCTTCTAAACACTACAAGCACTTCAGAAAGGCTGTCGCTTTTCCTTTTCGGAAGTTAGAGCTATGTCGACACTGCCATTTCAGGGCGGGGTCATTTTCAGGACTTTCGCCCCGGATTCAAGTTTTCACACATATGCCATGTTGACCGCCATGGTCATTTTACCCTAAAACAGTTGAGATTACCTGTCCTAAATGAATCGCATACAAACTCATATACAGGTCCTAGACTACCCCAGGAATTACAAAAAACGCGTTGCGTTAAATGCTTTTAATGAAGTTGAATATGTTGGAAAAGAGACAGATAGTTAAAATCGAACAACTGGCAACTAAGCAAGACAACAATAACTTGGAACACATTTTTGTGGCATATATTTTGGGCAGAGAAGTGCTCGAAAACAGTT